TGGTTCATCTAAAGCTTCGATGTTAAAGTCAATGAGTCTATTGCCTGTCTTAACATTCCTCTTCCTATTCTCTTCATCTTTCTTTAACCATCTCTCACCTTCTTTTGGTTTGTCGTCAATGGAACGAATGACATCGTTAGCTTTGCGAACTTGTTCTATAGCACTTTTAAACATCTCTCTTCTCTGTTGTTTCAGTGTGTCGTCTCTCTTTCGTGTTTCACCAACGTTTGCATTTGTTATGTCAAACATTTCTCTTCTTACTTCATGAGGTACTGAACGTCTATGATATAAGTCAATAGCAACGTCATTTAAAGGAAATGCTCTTGCATGGACTTCGTCCTCGCCGCGTTGCGGCTTTATGAACTCATGAATTCTATCATAACTTATTGCACCATTATAGTCATTGAGGATGTCAGCGAGTGCTTTTTTGTTTGTTGCGTAATGCTTTGCAACATCTATATTAGCTTCTGTAAGAAGTTGTTTTATTTCCGAGTGTTCTAACTTAGACAACTTCCGATACATCTTTAGTAGGAAATAAAAAAATATTTTTTTGAAAAAATTAGATTAGATTTTTTTAAGTTATTTTTCAAAATAACTTAATATTTTTATTTTAATGAAACACATGCAAGATTGCAAGTTCTTTTCATACAATGCTCTCGCTAATGCCATCAAGAATGAGTTCAATGGTGCTTCAAATGTTAATGTTATCTTTAACAAGAAGTTTGTGAAAGAATCTAAGTTCGGTCAGTATGTCAGACCATTAGCTATCGTCATTGACCGCAAACGTTATACTTCACAAGAGTTAGCAGTAGTTTTGAAACAAAAGAGTTTCTTCGTGAATGTCAAAGATACTCATTATACTGTCATAAAGAACTCTAACGTTGACTTCTTCAGTATTGCTTTAAATCTTTCCGAACAGAAAGAATATAAGAAGGGTGAAACAAATGTGAAATATTATCCTTCATCTCTGAAGACAATAACGAACAAAGATGTCATACAAAAGTTCTTACCAAAGGTTGAAGAAGCTTCTATTGATATTGACGAAGGAAGTGAAATGGTTGAAGAAATAGACCCTGAAGTTATTTAAGCAAAAATATATTTTTGAATAACTGAAAGTGTCACCACGTCACCATGTGCTACCAGGTTAATTAACTTCTTTTAAAAATGATGACAACATGACATTTTGACAACAACACAGGAAATAAATTTTATCGTTAATGTTTACGTTAATGTTTCGTAAATGTTTTCATAAATGTTTTCATAAAGACGCAAAGCGGCGGGCATAGCCCATGACCAAAAAATAATGTTTAGAGTAGATGGGTATATCTAACCTAATTTCTACCCTCATTTATAACATGGTCTAAAACTCTCGAAAATCATGAATTTTTGACATTTCCTTATGAAAGAAAAATAACGCTAATTTTTTTCTAAGAAAATTTTTTATCTTGTATGTAAAGACAGTAATGTCAAACATTGAGTTTGAAACAGTTAGAAAGATTGACAATGACACCAAAGTGGTTAGAATAGGTGATTTAAACGTAAGATACTCAAAGAAATACAACAAATATTCTTTGTCAGACATTATAATACCATCTGGAAAGAAAGCAAAGGACTGGGTTAGAATTGCTTCTACTCAGAAAATTTTGACAAGAAATCCTGAGCTTATGATATCAGTAGCATTTCATGGAACAAGAGCATATCTTATAGACAAAAGTCTTATACCAATAATTCTTCTATGGATTGACCCAGTTGTTGGATATAACTTCATAACTTATGGTTCATTCGATACGGAACGTTGCAGTGAAGGCTTACTTTATATTGTTCAGAAACCGAAGGACTTCAATACAAAGAGATATAAGATAGGAAGAACATATAATATAACTCAAAGATATGACAGTACAGTCAATAGAGTCAAGGTTGTGTTCGTTAATGATATGAGAGCTGCAGAAACAGAACTACTTGAAAAGTTTGAGAAAATGTATGGTGCTCCCATGAAAGGTAAAGAAACTTTCGAAGTAGATGAGATAGATAAAGCTATAAAATTATTTGACGAAGTTGCTGAAAAATACATGTAAAGCGTTTATTTTTGGTCTTTTGTGAAAGTCAGAAAAAATAAAGTTAGTTTTATTTTGTATGAAATGACATTTAGACAACAACACAGGAGGATGGCAATTATGAAATATTTTTGTTCATTCTTCCTCTTTGAAGTTGTCGAAATATTCTGTTATCTTTTCTTTCAGTAATGTTAAGTCTTCTTTGAATGTAAGTATTGTGCAACCTTTGATGTCATAGTGTGTTTGAGGAAGAGTATTTTTGACAATTTCCTTTATTTGCTCATTCGGTGTCATTGAAATCGGTAAGTTTTCACGATAGAACCAGTTTCTGTCAGATTTATATATCTTAGCTAAGTCATAAAAGCTCTTGTTGTTTCTTCTCACTAAATGCAACATAACCATATCTCTATCTTCTTCTTTCTCCAACTCTTCAGCGTAAATCATATACTTATAGTTCTTTTCCTTTCCTTTTGGTACTGAACGTGGTATTCTTTTCTGTATGCTTTTGTCTTTGGATTCAATGACTTCATCTTTTGCTTGAAGTTTCTTTTCCATTCTCCACGTTCTGCTTTATATAGTTCATCTAACATCATGAAATATAACAAGCATAACGAGGTGAAGCCCACATTGCTACAGCATTTACTAAAAGTCTATGAACATAATAACCTTTCAAACCAGGAGCCAAATTCTTGCGATTTTCGTACGGAATCTCTTCCCTCGGTTTTCCGAGGGAAGCAATCATATGAGGAAATTCTTCTAAAAGTTCTTTTGCCTGTTGGTTTTCAAACCAATGATATGCTTGCTTTGTAGAACAAAGAGCATTCATTATACTTTGCATTTGGTACATGTCATCTTTGACCGAACGAATGAGGCGAAGTTGTTTGTTATATTGTATGTATTCGTATTCTTCATTAATGGCTTCATGAACGATAGCAGTTGTTGTGTTCTCTTAATGTTGACATTACTGTTTTACATACAAAATAAAAAAATAAATAAAAATAAAACTAACTTTATTTTTTCTGAGATAAACACTATTTTTCACAACATTAAATTTTATCCTGTATGAAATGACTTTAAAAAGATTATTGACTGACTTCGAATACTATCTCATTGACGCACTGACAGACCCTCAAAACTGTGTTGAAAGTTCTTTAAGCTTTAAGATTGAAGGTACGACGCATTTTGTCTTCACTTACGTATTGAAAGAATATGACCGTTATCATAACGAAGTGAATCAAACACTAATAAAATTTGTAGATAAAAAATTGGTTAACAATGAATATTTTAAACGTGAAGACCCAAACACTGCTGGAGATGATGAAGAATACAGACAAGTTATTGAAAAAAATAACGCAAGATTAGATGTAATAGAAAAGAAGTTTAATGAATGTCTTACAAACACGTATGAATATCTTATGCGGTGGGAAGCTAGATGGAAATAAATTTACGTCAAATATGCAATTTATAAAATCTTATGTCGACAGGCTACGTAGCACAGTGGTCTAAGGTGGTGTTATGGGGGTCAGAGTCTGTGGTTCGAACCGCGACAGCGCCGTATTTTCTTATTTTCTTTGTTTGTCTTGTTTGTCGTGAATAAAAAGTGTCATAAAAGTGCTCTATCTTCCACGGGAATAAATAAAAAATTTACTTTATTTCTTCTTTATTTCTTTGTTCCCGTGGAAGAAGGGTTTTTGCCGTTTTTTCTGAGCCGAAATCAATGATTTTTTCATTTTTGGAATCCTTAGCGAATGAGGAATCTTTTCTCTCGTGGAAGTTTTGACCTAAAATATATTTTTGTCTGATTTACATCTAATGAAAAAGTTTAGAAGAATTTTCTTATTCTTTCTGGCATATTTTTGTCTTTCCAGTACTCCCGCTCTAATGGTCCCAGATGTGTTGGCTTCGACTCTCTCAAGTTCTTAGATGGTATAACATCTTCAACGCCTCCTTCATATCTTACTTTATAAGTGTCATCGTTTATGTTATAGCCAAGTATTTCAATAACCACTCCTCGCTTTGCTTCGTCAATGGTTTCAGCAAGTTTGCCATTACTACTTTCAACTAATTTATGTCGAGGGTAAAACGCTATGGAGTCGTCAGCAGCTTTTATAAGATATCCATTACCTTGCGTTGAATCTACTATATAATAATTTCGACTTAACCTTAAACGTTTCTTTGTCAATGGTTTGTCGTCAAGAACTACACGAACTTTTGTACCAGGAATGAGGGTAAATTGTGTTGAATTTCTGATATTTTGTGTTTGGCTTCGTTTCTTTGTATATACTTTTCTTCTTGTTGTTGTGTCATTGAATTTGGTGTATGTCCTGTTGTAGAATTTGTTGAGGAATTATATACTTCGAGAAAATGTTTCATTGTTTCTTCGGTAAAGTCTCGCTCTTGATTTAAATCTCTGAGCGTTCTTATGAAGCGGTTTATGATGCCGAGTATGTTATGGTTATGGTCTTCAGTAGTGTAGTGAGTTATGTTATGCTTAATGAGAAATCTGTGATTTCATTGCTGAGGTATGCACTGTCTTGGTCTGATGTTAAAGTACTTGGGTTATGTTCTGCTACAAACTTTTGTAAAACTCTTAACACTTCATGAGTTCCTTTATTTTTCATTGGATATGCATATGCTTTACGAGTGTTAACATTTATGAAGATGAGGAATGGTTTATGTCCTCCTTTTCTGCTTTGAATGAGAGTGTCAAATTGGTATGCGTCAGGAGTGTTGGAGTAAATTGGTAAAAAGTAGTCGTAAGGGTTTATTTTTGTTTGATGTACAACATTTTTGTCAAAGAACCTTTTCACTTCAGCTCTGTTAGTAAATCCCCAACTCTTTGCAGCTTCATTGAATTTCTTAAAAGACCTCCATGGATGTTGTTCGAATACTTCTTTCAAGCTCATTTATGTAAAGTTAAAGATTTTATTCTAGGCTCAAGCGCGTTCATTGAACGCGGTACCATGCAAATACAGTCACAAATGGTGGCATGTAATCTGCACCCGAGCCTGTTGGATTTGTTGTGAAAGTATGGGCATGATTTCCTCCTGGTTCAGTTGGTCGAAAAGTCTTTTTTGCTGAATTGTTATAAGATGGAGATAAAACGTCATTGCCAGCTTTATATTCTGAGTTGTATAATGGATGGTCTCTTAATGAGTGGCTATGGTCGCCAGAAAAGTTTGTAGTTCCTGTATGAGTGTGCGGTGGAAGGTTTGCTTCAGTAATTTTCTTCGAACCTCCTGTTTGCTTTGAAGAGTTAGCACAGTATAAGAATTTGTCTACAATCTGCTGCCATGTACCAAAACCTAAAACTGTTGCTGGATTTGTTGAGTTCATTGACGTATAAATAGAACCTATAGGATATAATGTTTGAAGAATCTGAGTCTTTAATGTTTGAAGCTCTGTTTTGTCTGCTTTCTTGTCATATAAATCTTGAGCAGTGAATTTAATATTATGTTCATCCTTCATGACATAAACATCTTTACATCTAATGTTTCTCATCGTCGTTATGTCGTCATCCGATGTTAAACCTTGTGGAAAGTTAGGAGGTTTACAATATAATGCATCCCCACCAGTTCCTTCAACCGTTCCTTCAATACTTTCTATAGCAACAGTTGTGAAGAAATCATGTGTATGGTTCTTGTCTGCTTTTTTATCTAACATTGCTGGTAGTTCATGTGTTTCAAAGTTTCTGACATGACCTTCGATATTCATACATTTGTTATTTAAGGAGTTTAGTGTATCTTTTACGCTTGTACTTGGATTCTCTAAAGGTGCACTTGAACCAAGGGTATAGTTCAATATTATGTCGTCTGCTCTAACAGTTGAGAAGGAGTTATGTGTATGATTTTTGTCAGCTTTACTGTCTAATGTAGCTTGAAGTTCATTTATATCGGAGATGTTGTGTTTATGAGATTTCAAAACTTTGTTCATTGCTTCGAGTTCAACTTTGTCAGCTTTACTTTTAATAGCATCTTCAAACGTTATTTTTGACTTAACTCTCAAAGTAAATCTTGGTTCAACTAATACACCGTTAACATTGAAAGTAGAGGCATAAATTTCACCGGTATAACCAAATGCTTCTGGTGCTTTAGCTACATCATACTGTACAGTACAGCTTATGTCATAACCTTTAGCACGAATGTATTTATATCTTCTTTCATTAACATTTTTTGTCTTCGCTTCATCACTTCGTGTTAAATATCCATGGTAGTCCGTTATAATCTGTTCGTCTGAAGTTATATAATGAACATGGTTCTTGTCCGCTTTACTATTTAATGTAGCTTGAAGTTCATTTATATCGGAGATATTGTGTTTATGAGATTTCAAAACTTTGTTCATTGCGTCAAGTTCATTTTGTCCGCTTTACTATTTAATGTAGCTTGAAGTTCATTTATATCGGAGATATTGTGTTTATGTTCTTTATCTGCTTTTTCGGCTAATTTCTCTTCTATCTCATTTATTTCAAGTTCATGCCTACCACCACCTCCCGAAGAAGTATTTTTCTTCAGCTCTTGAAGAACGTCCACTTCGCCATCTTTGGTGTCAATAATGAGACTTTGTGTTAAAACCTTTCCTGTCTTAATGGATGTTTGTAAAACTTCTTCTTCACCGTGTTCGGGGTCATGGTCGTCATCATATCTTGTGAAATCAGAGATGTTGTCATACATTAAGCATATCTGTCTCAAAAGTTCTGCTATTTGAAACTGGAACGAAAGATATTACAGAACTTTCATCATCTCCTAAAGTCAAGTCTGCTTTCTTAAGTATTTCTTGAATGTATGCAATGAGAACAGAGTACCTTGGAAAATATTCGAACAATATTTCATTAGCTGTTGGTTTTGGTGGTTCTTCTGGAGTTTCTGTTGTTTCAGTTCCTTCTGTTGGAGTTTCTGCATCTCTTGACTTCAATGCTCTTGCTCTCAAAGACCTAAATGTTAGAGCACCGGGTTTTACAAAGGACTTTATAAATGCTTTAATAGTTCCTGGTAAGTTATTGTTAGCATTAAGTAAGTTCCTTATGCTTCCCATGTACGGCCATAGCACTATGTAAAAAATCTATACTTTTCTTGTAGTCAGCAATAGATGACTGTGATTTTTTAAAGATTTGTCAATACCTTAAGCCAATCTCATGCATGTCTGATACTGAGCCAAGAATATCATTTGCTTCCTTTAGTGTATTTGTGCTTGTCGTAAAGTATCCAATCCCGTACGTGCATTGTTTGCTATACGTCTTACAGTATCATTTGACTCCTTGTTTCTTGCATCCAACCAGATAAAGTTTAATAGTATCCGAACCATTTGAAATGAAGTTTCAAAGCATTTTTAACGTCATTTTAAAACTTCTTCACCAAGTACCGCCCATATCTTTCCGATTTGGTATTGAAGAACTCCATATGAAGCAGCTGTTAAACCAGTATTTATAAGGTCCCATATCCATGATTTAGCAGTTTTTCCATCCTTTCATCCTTTCCATCCAAACCGTTTTCGCCTTGAGGTCCTGTATTCCTTGTATTCCTTGTATTCCTTGTGGTCCTTGAGGTCCTTGAGGTCCTTGAGGTCCGGTGTCACCCTTCCTCCTTTCAGTTCATCTTTATGTTCGTTATAATATTCAATGTCATAAGGTGTACATCATTACTGCTACCAGCAACGCCGAGAATTTGTTTCTCATTCATGACTAAATTCTTTAGGCAATTTAATGTTGTCGTCAATCGAAAGCTCTTTAACAATTCAATGAGAACATTTAATACTTTCACTAATGAGGCATCTACTGTAGAATTTATATATTGCACCGTTCCATCATTTATGATAGGAACCTTGCTTGTTGTAATGAATGGGTCATAAGTGTTAAAAGTATCGAAATCAATGACTTTTTTAGTTTTTCCATCTAATGACTAAATCATTGCCTTCAATGGTTAAAGTTGAGTTTTCGTTTACTAGTTCATGTGCTCTTCTTGCTTCATTTGTTTCATAACGCAGATGCAGCAATAGTCATATTTTAATGAGAATAAAATGTTGTTCTATTTGCAAAGTACAGACCAAACGAATATGGAACAGTAAAGCTTCAAACAAACTTAGGTCTTCAGAATGAAGCACTTGCTTTCAGAGTTGTTGACTTCAATACTATCGCAACTTTTGTCATAACAGATGAAACAGATTTCATAGAGATTGAATAGATGACAAAAAGAAGTTTTATAACATTTCCTAACAGAGCAGAGTATAGAATAGATAAAATTGCTGGAGTCATAGATACTCTCATAAATGAAGAAACTATTGACAACATAGATGTCGAACTCTCTTCTGAGGGAACATTGAAGTTCAGTAGCAAGAAGAGTTCAAGATAACACGAATGAGTCATAGAGTTCAACTTCTTTTAGGAGCATACCATATGACATTTCCTTTGAAAAGTGTTGACAAAACGATTGAGATGAAATCTGTTCCATACGTATGTTATGGCAATTGTTTGTACATGAGTCTAAAATAGCTAATGTCACAGGTATTTCAGGAGTTAATAGTAAAGGTTCAGTAGAATATAATCCTTCTGTTATGCAGTCAATTCAATGTTCATTCCAAAACGTTCCTGTCATAGCAACTCATTTAGGTAAATGGGTTCGCATTAGTCCTCATAATTTGAAAGACATGCAATTCAGACTAGTTGACTTTCAGGGCGAGCCTGTAGAACTGAAGGCACCAGTGCGAATGACTGTTGAAGTTGACTTTTTAGAAAATATTAAATGCAACAGCTTACAAGAGAACTCAGAGCTAAAAATATAAAGTATGAATGTTATGTATTAGGTCATGAACTTTGGTTGTTGCTGTTTGATGAAACAAATGAATATTAGTTATGTCAGTCAAGAGAACAGAAAAATATGTGTTAGTGAAAACTGCACCAAGTCAATAAGATTAGGTTTGCATTAATGAAGATGAGTTCGATACTGTTGAAGAAGTTTTGGACAGATATTACAAATTGCTTTAATTTACTAAACATATTTTCAAACAAAGTTTATATTCTGTTGAAAGTTTTGTATACTCGTTCGAATATTTATACTTAAACTCAACTCCTGTAGTTCCTGGTGTTTCAATGATGCGGATGTTACCTATTTTCATGAATAGTGGAGTTTGACCACAGCATTCGATTTCAGGGTCGAGATAGTCAATGACACATTGCTTTCCTGTTATTCGTGATGATAACATTTTTTCAGGTCCTCCTTTGTTAGAATTATTTGGTTCTTGCTTATAAGATTTGTCAAAAGCTTCTTATCGTCTTTGAGTAAAATTGTTTTGGTATAACTGAAGAAGGTAATGGTCTACGTTATCTGAAGGATTTGTTTGAACATTTGTGTAAGGGTTGTCGTTGGCTTCTCTTGAAAGAATTTGGTCCAGTGGTGGATACTCTAACTTAACATCTGATGTAGCGTTAGCGTTTGAAGCTGAGTTTAAAATTCACGGATTTCAGTTCTGGTTCTTTTTCTTTCAAACACTCCGAACTATAGTTCTTTATGACATATTGTTTGTCGTTCGTGAGTCAACATTTGATGTTGGTTCAATTGGAACATTAACGGCACCAGCTAAGATGGATTTGCTTCTCATTTCATATAGAATAAAAACCTTTTATATGTATGAAATGAACAATATACTCGACAAGGGTTGAATGTAAAGCTAACGAATGAAAATATTGTGTTGAATTCATGAGACAGGTGCTGGTATAAAGATGTAGAACTACTGAACAAAAGAGCTAAGGGAAGAAGCAGGAACATGAACAAAGGGTGGAAGCCTATAAAAATTTATGTCAATGATGGCTCAGGAGGTTCAAACATAAAGTATGCAGAAAGTTATAGAGTTTATGCTCTCAAAGGTGAAAAGCCTTCATTTAAGAACAGCTATTCTAACGCATATCCTCAAAAGCTAACGGATGGGGAAGTGGATGATATGAATGACAGCAAAAATATTAACAGAAATGGCGACAGAGATGCATGGAATTTGTTTACCATCAGTCAATTGAAGTTAAACTTTAAAACAATGTTGTCGTTCCATGGAATATTTTTGACTTTAATGGTATTAGTCATGATATGAATCTCAAGGTATGAACGAGGAGAGATGAGAGACTTATATGCTTCCCAATTTCTTCAAAAGGTAATGTTATACCTGAACTGTTTCCAAATGAGTTCAATATCATAACGTGAGAAACCTTGAAAGATAACGAAGTCAGTTATGAGACGTTTTTATGTTTAAGCAAAAAAAACGCCATGTTTGCATAAGTATTGCTACAGTTAAATGGTAATGTCTGACTTTAGTAATGATGTTAGCTAATGGCGAGTCTGGTTTTGACACTAAACCTTTTCCGGCGAAGTCGTCACAACACGAGCAGAGTGTTGAAGGATACTTTTTGAAGGGGTATTTTGAAAGTTTTGACAGAATGTAGTTTGTCAGTCGTTTCATATCGTAAACTCCTGAGTACTGACGTAAGTGGTGTTTGTCAATAATTCTTTCCATCTCTTCTGAAGTCTTTTGCATTCCTGACTGTATAAATTCAACGATGGCATAATATTTCCTCTACGTCGAATGTAACGTTGAAGAAATTCAATGAGTTCACTGTCTGGAACTTTAACGACAGAGGCTTGAACTTTTGACATAAATGTTTTCGCTGTTGAGTCCATAGAGTCTGAAGTTGCTGATATAATGATTTGGTCATAATATGAGTCATTTCCTAAACG